GGGATTGCAAAGCATTGGAAATGACTGGGCAACTAATAATTTCCTTTTATACACAGTTAGTGAGAATGTAAATCGGTGCAGCCACTATGAAGAACAGTATGGAGGTTCCTTTACAAAACTAAAAATAGTATTACCATATGATCCTGCAATCCCACTCTTGGGTGTATATCTAGATAAAACCATAATTCAAAACCATGCCAATTTTCAGGAGCACTGTTTACAGTAGCCAAGATAGAGAAGCAACCTAAATTTCCACTGACAGATTAATGGATAAAGAAGATGAGGTACATATATACGATAGAATATTGTTGTTGTTCAGTCACCCAGTTGTGTCCAACTCTTTGTGACTCCACGGACTACAGCAAGCCAGGCCTCCCTGTTCCTCACCATCTCCAAAAGTTTGCCCAAGTTCATGTCCATTGCATCTGTGATGCCATCCAGCCATCCCATCCTCTGACACCTCTTCTCCTACGTTCAATCTTTACCGGCATCAGGGATCTTTCCAATGAGTCAGCTGTTTGCATCAGATGACCAAAGTATTGGAGCTTCAGCTTCATCATCAGTCCTTACAATGAATATTCAGGGCTGATTTCCCTTAAGCTTGACTGGTTTGATCTCCTTGCTGTCCAAGGGATTTTGAGGAGTCTTCTCCAGTACCACAGTTTGAAGGCAATAGAATATTACTCTGCCATAAAAAAGTGAGGTCATACTATTTGCAGCAATGTGGATGAACCTAAAGATTACCTTATTAAGTGAAGTAAGACAAATATTATTATATGATATCACTTATCTGTGGAATCTAAAAATAAAACACAAATGAACTTATTTATGAAACAGAAATAGACTCACAGACATAGAAAAAAATATATGGTTACCAAAGAGGATAAAGGGGGAGGGATGAGAGAGAAATTAGGAGTTTAAGATTAACATATATACACTACTAAATATAAAATAGATAACCAACAATGACCAACTATATAGCACAGGGAACTATACTAGGTATCTTGTAATAACCTATAATGGAAAAGAATCTGAAAAAGATACATGTATATATGTGTATAACTGAATCATTTTGCTGTATACCTGAAATTAGAACAACATTGTAAATTAACTGTATTTCAATTTTTAAAAGTTAAAAAAGATTAGATGCCAGATTTGCTCCATTTTTAACAAGGTCTCTATCTAACAGGGAGGAGCAGCAGAATGACATGTCAGTTCCCACTGACATTTTATTATAGATTAATGGCTCAGATTAGCCACCTGCCAGATGATGAACTTTTGGGAAAGGGGTGGAGAAAACGTGGAGAGCATCTGTACAGGCCAAAGTTCAAGCATCAGAGCCCAGGGCTCTGGGAAGTCAAGGAAATAGCCTGAAGACAAGGGCCACTAATGATGTGTTACGTGGGGAGGGCTTGACACCAAGAGTGAACTTCCTCTGTTTCATATTTTGAATCCAGCTGTTAAAATCATGGGACTTGCCCAGACCTAGAGTAAAATAAGTGTTCATTGAGTTTGTTTATGTATCCGGAAACATCATATCTAGAGATTAGGGAAGAATATTAAAAAAAAAAAAATGCTATGGTTGCCATTTACTCTTACACTAGCCTAAATAGTGATTCTCCTGCCTTCATTGTACAAATAGTTGATTGAGAAATATTTTAATGAATATTTTATCTTGAATGGCACCTTTAATCTGATCAAATATAGAGAACTAAAAGGAACAGCCTAATACGAAAATTGAGAGAAAGGTTGGATGAGGGAAAATTTTAAATGAAATGACTGTAGTAATCAAGTGATCATACTGAGTCCATGTTAAGTAATTTTCCATGTTAAAATTATATATGAAATACATGTTTAGATCTATTATATATATAAACACATTGAAAAATATAAAGCAAATCAGTGTTTTCTTACTTAACTATTTTCTAATAAAACAGGGTGTCTAGTTCAGTCATGGATATTTTGAGAAGGACCTATTCATTGTGTTTACTTTCTATGATCCTGTGCCAATTTGGATTTCATTATATATTAAAAAGAAATATTGATTGTGAAAAGGTCTTAGAAATCCAGTAGTTACTGGCCAAATATATAGGTGATTACAAAAAGAGAAAATGAATTCATTATTGATGTACACATTCACTGAACTAATTTTCCAGGATGTGTAGTTTGATTTTCTGGAGGTATTAAGTAAACAAAAAATATCACGCCAGTTCTGATATTTAATATTTCATGATTAATATTCTTATATTTAATATTTACTCCTTGGTACAACACATAAATTATGAGTTCCCATTGCTTACCAACAAACTGTTTGCTAATTCTCCAAGTTTGCCATGAAAATAAAACATTATAATCTAGTAAAGGCACCTAAGACAGTGCCCAGCCTAAGCAAGGGTCTCATTGTACATTAATCTTAAATGTGAATCTGATCCCTTTTCTTCATTAGCTTTTCTTCTCCATCTATTTGGAGGGGTAACACATAGGGGCCTGAAAAAAAAATAGGAAAGCAAAAACAGAAAACAAAACCACAAACTGTGCAACATTGCATTTTTTTGGTAAGAAGCTCAATTGTATCCAACTCTTTGTGACCCCTTGGACTGTAGCCTGCCAGGCTCCTCTGCCCATGGAATTCTCCAGGCAAGAATACTGGAGTGAGTTGGCATTCCCTTCTCTAGGGGATCTTCCCAACCCAGGGATTGAACCCAGGTCTCCCTCATTACATGCAGATCCTTTACCATCTGGGCCACCAGGAAAGCCCTAAAAGGACTTTGGTTAATTGGAAAAGACAAGATCCCTGTGTTTCCGTTAGGACAGCTCCTTAAGAAAGTAGAACTGGAATTATAGTTTCAAAAGTAGAAAGATACAGTTGAGAGGTAGTGAATTAACAGCAAAAGCATGTACTAAATTATAATCTTTTTCATTCTCTTGTTAGATCAAAAGTTCTTAATATTTCAGAGACCTAAGATGAAAGTACAGATCATCTATCTGGTAGGGAGTAGGGACTAGAAGAATTATGACAGACACAAAATTGTACATACAGTTTTACAGATTTCACTGAAATCATACTCCCTAGACTTCAACCAATGAAATAATCCATGTGACCCTAGGCACTAGATTCAAAACCAATAAAAACTTTTACTGCCAAATATATTTCAGATCCCAGTGCCTTGCCCAGCACAAGTTGCTCAATTAATATTGTGGACCTAAATTAAACTATTTACACTGATATCATAGATTTATAATCTCTGTTCCATTTGAAGGCTGTCTTCTCAGCTATCCCTCTGTCAGTACTAACGCATATTCATATATAAATGTAATTCACTGTGAAGTCTACTACCTTTCACAAATACTTCCTTTTCTTGATATTTCTTTACTTGGTACCACCATGAGAAATCCCATGAGGTCATTTTACTTGAATCACAGTCAAAAGAAACAAAATCAAAACCAGCCTTTAAATAAACTGCATTTGATTTCTGAGGCAACTCCAGAATGTTAATGTTATTCTTAACGCCTGCCTCAATATAACTTTTTATTTTATTCTTGCTACATTTTTTATACTGTTAATGTTATAGGCTGGAAGTAATACATGGATTTGAATAAAACTATCACATTAGTTAATATGAAGCATAATGGTTCTGTAGAAAAAGAAGGTTGATATGAAACTGAATGACCTATAATCTAATTATCCATCTAATCTAAATATCCAGGTTTAAGCAGCTCTTGTTGTTATTTTCATATCCAGGCTTTAATAGCAAAATCACAGCAGTTCAAGGTATTTTCTGTGACTGCATGACTGGCCTCAGCTAACGGCCTTGGCTTCATTTTAGTCTGTCACCCCAAGCATTCCCCATGCCTTCATCTTTTTACTTAAACATGTTTCTTTATATGTGTTTTACTGGATCTTTCTGTAATAGTGATCTTCTAGGGAAGAGGCACGGGGTCATATTTTAATCTTTTGAAGAAGTTTACACAATAAAAGAAACTATTGAGAAACTTTCACAGCTATCCACATGTCCCCAGCTGTTTGAACATTTTTCACCGTCACTCTAATAACACCTAACATGGGAATCGTGAAAGTAATCATATAGCTTAATTTAATGCATAGATAAAGGGAAAGGTTGACTTTGGAAACCTCCGAGGTATAAGGACTATGACTAGTGCCTAGATGTTACCTCAAGAAGAGTCAAAGAACTGTGTGTTTGGGTCATTATGGCATTTAGATGACACACAGTGAGAAATTCTGCAACCTGTGAACTCTTACTGAGGATGGCTGAATTATTCTTCCTAGGATTATAAGAACTCAACAATTTTATTTGGCTAAATTTTGATGATTTATTGGGAATGTGTGGTGTCACTTGAAAGCAAAAGGGATTAACTCAGTGAATTCTTATGGCTGCTTATCATGATTCAGCAATTTCTTAAATTTTAAAGAGAATTTTGCAGCTACAGTTTTATACATGGTAAGATCAAGAGACTAAAAAGTTAAGTCAGCAGTCTTTAGAATTTAATTCTTGTTGGGTGAAGTTCATGATATGGTAGGCCACATTGCCTCAGAGAGGAATGACTTCTTAATAACATTTTTATTTCTCCTTTTCCAAAGGCTTCTTAAACTATATAAATAATGAGGTTGTTTAGTACAATATAAACAACATGCAGTATGTTGCATGTTGCAAATGCCAGAAGACATCTTCCAGGTGCCAGAAGACAGTTCTGTTTCATTCACTAATTTTATAGCCTCATCCCTAGAAATGACCCAGATCTGTGAGGGTATTTTTTTTTAAGCTACAGAAACAAAACTTTTAACCCTACTCTTCATATAATGTGTTGTAAGCTGGATTGGCTAAATTCTATCACTGAACAACTGCTAGGTTCAATTTGAATAATTTAATTGCTTAAAATATGTGTATTCACTTTCCCCTAGAAAAGTATTTCTAACTCAGTTGAACTGAAGTGTTGAATCCATTTTAATTGTTCTTCCTCTCTGTGTTTTATTTCTTCAGATTTTTTTTTCCATCTGCATTGCTTTCTGGGGAGTAAGGAGTGTGAAGCAACTTGTCTCAGACCCTTGGAGATAACCTACGTTTGTACACAATTCTCTTGTTTTAATCATTTGTCCACAATTATAATATGTTACTACTGTCTATGGAAATATAATTGTCTTATATAATGATTGTATGAACAGTTTTTCTAATGAAAGGTAGATAACATCTATATACTCTTGCTTCCTTTTCACATTTATCATTCTCTATTAAAATTAAAGTCAGCTGCAGTTACTTTATTGCTAGGGTGGAAAGAAAATTATGTCAAATAGAATGATATTACGTACACTGATAACATCTAAGCCAATGAGTATGAGAAGAAGTAATAAAACTTCAAAACAGCTGAAAGAATGATTTTATTTTTATTGGTTTGACAATTTTTCACTTGCTCTCTGCTAAAATTGTGCTTGGAAACATATTTGTTGTCATAAAGATGTATTACATGAGTCATCTGCCTAAGGCTAGGTTTACCTTTGAAAGCCATATAACGTAAGGAGTAACATTACACAAAATGACATCACCGACATGAAAATGAAGAGGATTTGTCAGAATTCATTTATTCAACAGATTATTTGTGATGCATATGTATAATATGTTTGGTCAATTTAATCTGGCAGATTGAGGGGTGTGGAGTATTTCTGCATTATTTTAAATTGTCTCACAATCATATTAATAAGACTCTCTAAATAAAATTGCCCCAGGTGCAGTTCTGTGTACAGCCCCATTCTGTGTACATTTTTCATGGGAATTGTAAAAATTTGCCATGTGTTTCGTTAGGAGGTAACTGACAGAGATAAATAGGAAATGGTTCAAGCTTTCCTTCTTCTAGTATTTCTTAGATTTTTTGTTGTTGTTGTTTAATTTTTTTTTCTGTATTGAAGGATAATATCTTTACAAAGTTGTATGGGTTTCTATGCAAATCAGCAATGCAAATCAGCTCTAAGTATGTATATACCCCTTCCCTCTTGAAACTCCCTCCCACATTCCTCATCCCACCCCTTTAGGTCCTTAATTGCCAGGCTGGGCTCCCTGTGTTATGTAGCAACCCCCCACCAGCTGTCTATCTTACATATCATAGTGTATATATGTCGATGCTACTCTTTTTATCCCACCCTCTCCTTCTCCTGCTGTGTCCACAAGTCCATTCTCTACATCTGAGTCTCTATTCCTGCCCTGCAAAAATGTTCATCAGTGCTGTTTTTCTGATTCCATATGTATGCATTAATATGTGATATTTGTTTTTCTCTTTATGACTTATTTCACTCTGTATAACAGGTTCTAGGTTCATCCACCTCACTTCAACCGACTCTCATTCATTTCTTTTTGTGGCTGAGTAATATTCCATTGTCTAAATGTACCACACCTTCTTTATCCATTCATCTGTCAATGGACGTCTACTTTGCTTCCATGTCCTAACTATTGTGAATAGTGCTTCTATGAATATTGGCATACGGGTGTCTTTTTGAATTATGGTTTTCTCAGGGTTCACGCACAGTAGTGGGATTGCTAGGCCATATGGTAATTTTATTCCTAGTGTTTAAAGGAATTTCTTACCACTCTCCATAGTGGCTGTAACACTTTAAATTCCCACCAACAATGTAAGAGAGTTCCCTTTTCTCTGCATCCTATCCAGCATTTTTATAGATTCTTTGATGATGATCATTTTGACTGATGTGAGGTGATACCTCATTATAGCTTTGGCTTGCATTTCTCTGATAATAAGCGGTGTTGAGAATCTTTTCTTGTGTTCGTTGGCTATCTGTATGTCTTCTCTGGGCTTCCCCGGTGGCTCAGTGGCAAAGAATCTGCCTGCCCATGCAGGAGATGCAGGTTCAATCCCTTGGTCATCAAGATCCCCTGGAGAAGGAAATGGCAACCCATTCCTGGATTCTTGCCTGGGAAGTCCCACGGGCAGAGTAGCCTGGTGGGCTACAGTCCATGAGGTCAGAAAAGAGTTGGACATGACTTAGAGACCAAATAACAATGTCTTCTTTGGAGAAATGTCTATTCAGGTCTTCTGCCCATTTATTTCTTAGATTTAAAGTCACAGTTTAAGTTACCAAACTTACAAGCACTAAAACAGTTAATACTGTCCTTCACTGAACTTTGCCTCTGTTCATGGCTGGTGTAAAGAGACCGATCAGTTGGTTGATTATTTTTAATATATGTTTTTTAAGTTTTGAAAGAGAAAAGTTGTGGAAGTAGTAAAAAGAGTCAAACTGCAGGTGTCTGTGCATATTCATGAAGCACATTTTTTTTTTAAACTGGACAAACAGAGGAAGGTTAAATTTTGCATGATGGAAAAATTAACAAGTTATATCTCAAGCATCAGAAGTAGGGACTTGACTTTGCTTCATTCATCGTTTTTTTACTTCTTAATTTAACACAGAGTTAGAGCAAATACTTGAACCCGTAAAAAACATTAGGCCCTATCCTTGTCCCTTACCAACAATTCTTACTGGAATTTGTGTATTTAGAATCCAATTAAAGTAAGGAGTCATCTGCTGGCTTGAAACTGCTAATTTCATAGCACAAAAGCTCTGAATACTCATATTCTACATCCTAAAGACCCTTCAGTCTGTAGCTTACAGCCTTCAAGAACAGCAAAGAAAAGAGAGCTTTCACAAATCATTAAGTAGGTTTTTAATGTGGTAGGACAGTCGGTGGTTTCCCCATGAATCATGTATAAATATGTATATATACCTGAATATATATGAATTTTTAGAAGTGGCCTAGGATATAAAGAGTAGTTAATGGAAATAAAGAATTCAAAATTGATAAAAGTTATTTTTATGGTGAAGTTTAGTTTTCTTTGAGTGAACTTAAATTTACCAATTTCTTCTCTCTTAGTTATTCTCACTATGATTAAAAATGATTTTTTTTAAAGATGCAAACATTTTCCAAGCTAGGAATTTTCAGGCCTTTGAAAGTGGAAGTCATTCCCAGATGGGTAGTGTTCCCAAGACCTGTGTGTTAACCAGGGCACTTTTTTCTTCATTTTCCACCTTGTTAATTTTCCAGTCTAGTTTTTTCTTGTTGAGCACTTGTACATGATGAGAGATCATATAACTATTATTAATATTATAAATTAATCTTGAGTGATGCCATGTAATTTATGCTTCCTCTTGACTAGAAGCACTTTACCTCTCTCTCCTTTTTTTCAAGAGAAAAGCAATAAAAATAGGACTCACCAATTACTCAGCACTTGTACTGGAGAAATGCCAACTGACTTTGAAATAATTATGAGTATTCTCAGGTTTGCTAATCTACCAAAAGGAAGAGGTAGAGAGAGGAAAGATACATTGGTTTATTGAGTAATACTGTTTTTTTTAACTCTCTATTGTCCTGGTAATTAAGTGCTGTTGAAACTATTTTAAAGAAGAGAATTCTGAGGCTGAGGAAGGTATAAAAATGTGCTCAGGCCTATCATGCTTAATCAGTAGTCAGAAGAAAATTTAAAATCTCTGAATTCTGACATAGAAGGCCATGTTTCACCATTATATGGTGTCATATCCCCAAGGTAAACCTTTGGAATACAGTATCAGGAGTTTAAGTTCAGAAAATTTCTCATTCAATTTGATGCTCCAAGATACAAAACAAAGTTCAGAGAATAAGCAGTTTAGTTACAGGACAAATTAGTTGACTAGATGAATGAGTACAGAACATATAATCTGAGAACAATAAGGCCCCAGGTTTTTTTTTTTAATAGGATTGCCATATGTCTAAAAGAAATTCATTCCTATACTTGATTTGATAAAACTGCTCATTACTCTAACTCTATTTCTGTGTCACTTTCCCTTCATCTTGTACTTTCTAATTATTTTGGTTAAACTTAAGTTAATCACCTCATGACCATGAGATTCAGCAATACGTGGATCTGTCATTGAGTATCCAAAGTTCAGTTAATCACAAAATATGCAAACTTCGTTATATTTAACATAATCAGCTTGTATGAAGTTTTATTGGAGGTTCTCACACTTCACTTTACTGGCTATGTATAATTCAGGCTTCCCCGGTGGCTCACATGGTAAGGAATCTGCCTGCAATGCGGGAGACCTAGGTTCGATCCTTGGGTTGGGAAGATCCCCTGGAGAAGAGAATGGCAATGCACTCTAGTACTCTTGCCTGGAGAATCCCATGGACTATACGCCATGGGGTCACAAAGAGTCGAACACAGCTGAGCGACTGACACATACACACATAATTCAGTAAGTCAGTGTACGCCCTTCAGCAGAAGCATTGAGTGGAATTTCTTAAAGTATGGTGCACACTATGATGCATCGTAATGTGATTTGTTAGGGAGATCAACAGTAACTAGAAAATGAGGTCTCTTTTTATATTTCTTTTTATATTTATGTTTGGACCATCCAGAATCCCAAAGAATAGAAAACAGAGCAGTTTGACTTTCGGAATCTTAAAATACTTTTCATGTCATGATTTTCAGCAGCACTGTGGGAGGGGTCAGGCCCATTCTTAAATATACCTCAAGGAAAGTATATTTAACAATGTTTTATCTGTTACTAGGATATTTTTTCAGATTTTGCTCCAGACTGCTGCCTTTTCTTCTCAACAACATAACAGATAACTCCTCCTTCACCAAAGGCTCAATTAGAAAAACTTATTAGCCAAAAAAAAAGAAAAAGAAAGCACATAAGCAAGCATTGATGGCTTTCTTTTGTGGGTTGTGTTTTCTTTTTGGAATTGTGCAAGTATAATATCTCTTTAGTCAGATTTTCCAATCATTCCAGTCTCGCCAGCATCCATCAATCATAAGTTCATCCCTTGGGTGTGTTCTCCTTTTGTTTTAGCAGCAATATATCCAAAATTCTAACTTGCATAGATTTACATTACAGAAAACAGGAAGAAGCAGCCTTGGTCTTTATGTAACAGGATTATCCATGGATCTTTTTAAAAGTTAAAACTCTTGGTAAGAGCATTGGAATTCTGGTTTAGTAAGATTCAAGTGGTGCCAGAGAGTCTGTATTCTTCAAAATTCTTTTAACTAAAAAGTTACAGAGGAGAAGAAGGGGGCGACA